AGGTGCCCAGTTTCTCCAGAGTTCAGAGGCTTCTGGACTCCTTGAGTTCACTGATGCCTGTCCCGGTGATTGCTGGAACCTCCAGGGCCTTGGGGGTAGAAGACCCAAGTGAGCATGGACCTTCTGTTAGTAGAAGGCTCCAAAGGGCTTGCATCTCCCGCTCAGGTGTCCTTTCCAGTGACTAGCTGCTTAGAGGGTTTATCTTCCTCAACTGCAGAGGTCAGAGGGGCATGGACCTAAAGCAGTCCTTATAGATTGAGCTCTGCCCTTGACCACTTCTCAGGGGAGACTGACAGTCTGGATCCCAGCAAGGTGGGGAGTCACCTTCAGCTTGATCCCTCTGTCTTCCCTGATGAGAAACATGCATGGACAGAGTTGTGAATTGCTGCAGTTTTTCTGACCAAGATAAACTGACAGTGATCTTGGGCAGCTACTGGTAAAGAGGTGGGATATCCCAGACGACAGAGCTGGTGGGAAACAAGCTTGCCTCCCTTAAGGACCTTCTTGGGTTAGGAAGCTGTGTGCTCATCTGAGGACAAAGTCGCCTATGAGGATTGGCTGTGTAGAGTTTGACAGGTTCATGTGGCCTGGTGCCTTGCTCTTCGCATTGCTGGGTGTATGCCATCCCGCCCCCACCCCCACCTCCACCCCGGAGGTGGCTTGGGTTGCAGGTCTTTTTTACATGTATTGTCCCCAGACCCCACGCTCCCCAGTCCCCACTCTGTCAGCTCTGTCCCTAGGAGTCCGCAGTGGGCAGGTCACGTCAGCAGGGATGCTCAATTCAGGGGCCCAGTTGTGGGAGCACTGAGCAGGATCCCCAACCCAAACGGTGTGAGGAAGTGTCCAGGGAAGGCCATCTGGAGGAGAGTCCTGAATTAAAGGACGCATTTCAGGACAGATTGGGAGTTGCTCACGGGTCAGATTAGGCTGGTAAAGCACAGGCCGGGAGGTGTGTTCGAGAATGTTCCTGTGTTTCCTACCCCAGCCCCAGCCTGAGCCTGTCTCTCTGCCAGCCCCGTGCCCCTCCTCTGCACACCAGGGCTTACTCCTAGTCCAGCTTGCTGCGATAATCCACGATCTATTTATATAAACACATTTTAACTTCAGATCAGGAAATTGATGTTTTTCCTAACCAATGACATGTTTTGGAGAGCTTTCTAATAGTTAAATGCATATTCCAAAGCTTTTAGAGGTTGTAGCACAATTGTTGACAGAAGAACCCAACTGGTTCTTTGTTCTTCTTAGTCAAATGGTTCTTTTCTTGCCTTCTAACTTTTGTGACTTATGTCTGCTTCCACTTTGATTTGAGATGGCGCCATTCCTTCTCCTACACGTGTTAAACCCCATGGGAAGCTGAGATTATGGACCTGGGGACAGTGACTGACTGGAGTCTACCCCTGAGGCAGGCTGACATTGCTGAGGCCAAATGGGTTGTAAAAGGCTGACAGAATTCTGTGTTGGGAGGTGTCTTGCTGTGGCTCCCAAGCCCTCCAGAGGTCCCAGGCCCCTCCAACCCCTGAATGACCAGCATGGAGAGGAGAACATGTCTGATGAGAAGGTATTAGGCCAGATCAGTCTGTTTCCAACTGACGCGCCCATGTCTGTGGGGATTTTGTTATTTTTTTCTTTTTAATTGTTTAATATTTATTTTTATATACAATGAAAATGGAAGACAGCTGTGGGGGCTTTTAAATTAATCTGAATAGACCCCTGCCCATTTTTAAACCTTTAAAGTATCAGAGTCTTAATCTCATTATTTTTTTCTCTGCACCACACCACTTTAAATGTTTGGAATTCATAATGTCATCAATAAAATAAGGTGCAGTGAAGACTTCCTGGTTTGAAACCTCGTAGATCAGCTCAGATTAGCTGTGCTGTGGGGGCGCAGAGAGCCACCAGGCCTGAAGTCTTCAAAAGTCACAATGTCATGGGGGGAGAAGTAGAGGGATTGGTTAACTAGATTTAAAGAAAATTCAGTTGGCGCGCGGTGGCCTCACCCTATAATCCAGCACTATCTGGCGAGGCCAAAGCCGGGGAGATCGCTCGAAGGTTCAGGATGTGCAGGACCAGCCTGAGAAGAGTGAGATCCCACTCTCTATATAAATAGGAAAGAAATTAATTGGCCAATTAAAAATATATATAGAAAAAATTAGCAGGTAGGCTAAAAATGTTCAGCTACCCAATCAAATCGGGCGATTGAAATGCCAGACCGGGTTAGCAGAAATTCAAGCTGATTCATTACTGCAAGCTTCTTGGGAGGAAGACTTCGAGTGGACCCGATGGTATTTAACAACAAATTTTTTTAGCATTATTATGGGGTACAAGTGTTAAGGTTACATATATTGCCCATGCGCCCCTCCCTTGAGTAAGAGCTTCAAGCGTGTCCATCCCCCACACATTGCACATTTTACTCGTTTGTTGCATATACCATCCCCTCCTCCCCCAAGGAATTGTGCTATGTGGCTGCTGAATACTATAGCCTCTCAATGACTCTTAACATTCAAGAGATTAAAAGAATTCAGCCCAGAGGTTTTATACACAAAAATAGGAACAACATAACTGAATTTGACTGCATTTAAAAACAGTTCACTTCCAAATCTACTGAGCAGCTGAACAGGCTTCAGTGCTGCCTGCGGTCCCCGGGGTTCCAGTAGTCCCGCTCCGGGGAGTGCCGGGCCCTTTTATGCTTGTGGGACCTGTCATGGCTCCTACTTGTATGACTACGCCCTTCAGAACGCCTGTTCTAGCCAGAATGTGTGTCTGTGCTTGGCCCTCTGTCCCTATCCCTGTTCTTTTCTTCTCTTGCCTCCCTCCTGCTTGAGGACTTGTGGTCATGTTTGGGTTTCTCCTCTGGCTCCCTCTCCAGGTCCTGGGCTCCAACACGCCAGGTGGTCCTGGCCTCAGGGGAGGCCGAGTAGCGCTTCCGGCCCTCCTTGGACTCCAGCAAGAACTCTGAGAGAGTTCAGAAGCCACTGTGCTGCTAAGGGTCATCCTTGTCCTTTATTGCCTTGCTTCCGGGTGATGAAGAGGACGACTGCTCAGCCTCTACTGCCCGGTCGGTCTTCTCCTTTTCTGTTTTTTGTGGGTTTGTCATCTTCAGAGCCCTCAGACAAACTCAGTGAGGGGGTACGAGCCCCACAGCCCTTCTCCATTTTTTTGCAGACATATTATTATGAACTTTAATTATGAGCTTTTCAAAAGTCACACTTTTAATCCGCCTTTACTACATTTTCCCTCCAAGAATTCCCCCAAAGCTATAAAAAATAGAAATTGATAAATATACATTGAGAATTATGCAGTTTTTACACAACAATGGGCAGGTCAATGTTTCAAGTTGTCTAACTCTTTCCCCGTGGCTGCCATCCAGAACTGGCAGCAGTGCAACCTCTGAAAGTTCAGCAGCAGTAAAGGCAACCCTTTTCCCAATCCCGTGGGACTAGGGCCTGCAGCAGGTGGACCTTAGGGTTCTAACCCAGGGAACAGCGTGTTTATCCAGTGGTAACTTCCAGGTGTTTACAGGCATCTTTCTTCCTTCCAAGATCAAAGGATATAAGCCTGCCCAGCATCTTCCTTCAAAACTTCTTTGATGGTGTGTTGAGCACATCCATTATGAAGCCATCTTTCCCCAGGACGCAGAGGTTGAGCAGATGCAGATCTGCTTCCTGGAGAACACCTCAGCCTAGACTGCGGGCTTCTCGCAGCCCACACCCACCGCAAGGTGGGAACGTGGCCTTCCGTCCACACCGGCCTTGCGGCAAACCAGCGAACCTTTTCAGCTTTCAGAAGACAAGGCCAAACCCAGCCCTCAGAATCCCACCGCACCAAATCCTTCTCCTACAGCTTAAAAATCTATGTCTCCTTTATCAGTCACAGCATAACACAGCCAACGCCCAGGCTCTTGTCAGAGAGCCCTTTTCCCGGGAGGGGCAGCACTTAGAAGTTCCCAAAGCACAGGCTCCACAGAGGGATGACAAATGACTGACCACAGAGGGGACAGAGAGCAGTGCCCCACATCAAACGCCGACCAGAGGATCAGCGCCACTCTGGCATGTCAGTGTCCTCCACATTGATGAGAATGTGATGAGCTCGCAACTCCTGCCAGCCCTGGGTCAAAGCTGTGACGTGTGGCCTCCTGTGGCCAGCGTGTTGAGGGGGTGCAGAGTCACTTCCATCAGCTCAGCGGGGCACTTGGAGCCCAGGCGAGGAGAGAAGTAAGAATGAGGTCCTGACATGATAAATTAGTGCGATAAATTGTGAGTCAACAAAAGGGATCCCGACATCCTGAAACTCACCCCGGGCAGGCAGGCAGTGTTCTTGGTGTTACAGCAAGCACGGCGGCAAAGAACCCTTCTTTCCTGCCACGTTCCCTGGTCTTCTGGGTTTCAAAGCAATCAAGTCCTATGATGATAAATGAAGTCCCCGGCTGCTGCTATGCCCGAGGTACATGCTCGCTGATTAAGAAGCCTCATTATTACCATCTTTCCCTCAACCCAGGACTACAAAGTGTGAACCACCTCCAACCCATCTACAGCGCAGTGGGACTGTTTCTTCAGAGCAGATCGGCAACGTTCACAGGCATTTCATCAATCTGAGTGGAGTAGTACTGTTCAAGATCTCGGAGGATGCGGATGTCGTCGTTCTTTACAAAATTGATGGCCACACCCTTTCGACCATATCGACCTGACCTCCCAATTCTGTGTATGTACAACTCTCTGCTATTGGGCAGGTCGTAGTTAATGATGAGGGACACCTGCGGGACATCCAAGCCCCTGGCCCAGACGTCTGTGGAGATGAGCACTCGGCTGGCGCCGGCCCGGAACTCCTTCGCGATGCGCTCGCGCTCCTTCTGCGGCATGTCTCCGTGCATCGAGCACACGGTGAAGTTGGCTTCTCTCATCTTCTCTGCCAGCCAGTCAACCTTCCTCCTGGTGTTACAGAAGATGACCGCCTGCGTGATGGTCAGTGTGTCGTAGAGATCACACAGGGTGTCAAACTTCCACTCTTCTCTTTCCACTGCCACAAAAAACTGTCTGACGCCTTCCAGAGTCAACTCATCACGTTTTAGCCGGATTCGGATGGGGTCCGTCATGAACTTGGTGGTCATTTCCAGGATTTCCTGGGGCAGCGTGGCACTGATAAGGACCACCTGTGTGGCCGGAGGCAGGTACCTGTACACGTCATAAATCTGGTCTTTGAACCCTTTATTCAACATTTCGTCAGCCTCATCCAAAACCAACATCTTGATAGCTCGTGTCCTTAAACTTCCTCTACGAATCATATCGAAGACGCGCCCTGGTGTGCCTGAGACGACGTGCTGTCCGTAATCCAGCCTCCTGATGTCCTCGGCCACATTGGTGCCCCCCATGCAGGCGTGGCACTGGACGTTCATGTAGTCGCCGAGAGCAAGCAGGCCCTTCTGGATCTGCACGGCCAGCTCTCGCGTGGGGGCCAAGATCAGAGCCTGGGCTTCACGAACCTGAATATCCAAGCACTGAAGGACTGAAATAGTGAAGGTGGCTGTTTTACCTGTGCCAGACTGAGACTGTGCGATGACATCTCTCCCTTTAATTATCTGCTTGGTAGCTCGCTGTTGGATCGCTGAAGGGTTTTCAAACCCGTAGGCGTAGATGCCGCGCAGCAGGTCCTCCCGCAGGCCCATAGTGTCGAACGTGGGGGTCACGTCCACCTCCTCGCTGGTCTCGAATTCCACTGTGGCCATGTCTGCCTCTTTGAGCAGCCGCTTCCGCGCCGAGCCGGAGGTCGTCATCGTAACAAAACACAGATGATTCATAAGGAAGCCCTCCCAGGAAGATCCAGGCGCTGTCCTTGTACTCGGAGTGCCAGGACACCTTATCTGGTACCCCAAGCTGGACCTATCGCTCATTCAGCTCGCTGCTCAGCTTCACCTTAAAGGGTTCACCTTAGCAGGTTCCCGGTCGTCCCAACTGCTCAGCTTCCAGAGGAGGCTGCCTTCTCTCCAGTCTTATATACGGTTCTTGGATCACACGTAACCAATCACCTATGAGCATGCAAGATTATCCGATTAATGGTGGGATTAGTAGGATCAGCCAATAAGCTTCTCATGAATCCAATCTGCAGTGGATTTTGCCTCAGGGACCCGAGGTGGGGGCTTTTCCCTATCATTAGGATCAGCCATAAACTTCACAGATATCCAATCAGTGGATTGTGGATTTTGCCTCAGGGCTCCCAGGTGTGGGGGCTTTTCCCTATCCTAAGAACATCCCACAACCAGCCGGTGGTGGTGGCTCACGCCTGTAATCCTAGCACTCTGGGAGGCCGAGGCCCGGTGGATTGCTTGAGGTCAGGAGTTTGAAACCAGCCTGAGTCACGAGCAAGACCCTGTCTCTTCCCTAAATAGAAAGAAATTAATTGGCTAATTTTTTCTATGTTATTTGGCCAGGCATGGTGGCACATGCCTGTAGTCCTAGCTACTCGGGAGGCTGAGGCAGAAGGAATGCTTGAGCCCAAGAGATTGAGGTTGCTGTGAGCTAGGCTCATGCCACAGCGCTCAGTCTTGCTGTGTTGCCCAGGCTAGGTTGTCTCAAAAAAATCCCACAACCACTTCTGGGGTGTTGAGTGCTGGGGATAGCTCCTGCAAAACATAGCCACAATAACATACTGTCAAATCCCTGCATGACCTAAGCCTACTAAGGTGACTTTTCAATGATCAGGAATGTTTGGAAGGGGGAACCATGTTCCTTTGATCATTCAAGGCAGACAGAATGTGCTCAACTAAGGGCCCTTGAGTCAGGACTTTGATCCACCTTGAGTGGGACGAGGCTGTCTGGCTTAAACACTGAATTCGTGGCCCCTGCTGCTCTCCTCGATAAGCACTTTGTGCCCCCCTTTGGGGAGATGGAAGTGGGGAAGAGAGGGTTGCAGAGCTGCTTGCCCTCAGGAGGGCAGGGCAGGTGACTCAAAGTTCTGGTGGCAGAACTCTAGGCAGCTCATGCTCCTAGGTCTGTAGGTTCTGGACTCGTCCAATGGCTCTGCCCTTTTTCTGAGCTGATCCTGTGATCTTAGACTTAAGACAGGAACGTCTTTGCCCTGGGACTCTTACCTTGCAAAACCTTAGACCTACTTTTACCATCAGTACAGGCCAGGCAGTATGTGGCCGGCCGGGCAGGTGCTGCAGGCTGGGGAGCTGGTCTTCCGCTCTCAGGAGGGGGCGAGGGCCAGCCCGCACTGGCAGGGATGCCCCCCCCCAATAGCTCCCGAATGTCCACCACCTGCGAAGTGAGTGGGCAGCCCTTCTCCTGACTGCTTAAAGATAGATGGCATCCTGGAACTGAGAAGGGTTGGCCCCATTCCCTACAGAGAATAAATTTGATTTTCTAAAAAAACCATTAGCCCTTAGTGGCCTTCCCTTGACACTCATCCCTCGTAGATCTTAGAAAACATCCCACCCATGCCAGCTTACGTCTTGGTCTTAATTCCATGTTTACTTTGCCCTGACCTATAATCACATCAGATGTGATGCAAGCCACACCCATGGAGATCGTACCTGCCCCCTGATTCTTCTCTCCTGGCACAGAACAGAGCTGTTTCATGAAGGAAGTGGTGTCTCATGTTTACATGGAACTTCTCAGACGTATAAGACCTTAGGGACATTGGTGAAACCTTGAATTGTTAAGATGTCCCTGAGCTATGGGGATGGGGCTCTTTCTGTACTGAGTGTCACAGGATGTTGCCAAGGAGAATAGAGCAAGGGACATGCTATAGTGACTGGGTTGTTACAGGTTCACTTGTTCGATAGGTTGTCAGATGAGAGTAACCTGGGCTTTGTCTCACTTGTGAGCCCACCACAGTAACTCAGGGAAAGAAAGCCAGGTTCTTGTCACCTCTTATCTCTCCTCCCAAACCTTGGTGCCTAACCTGAAGTGTCCGGGTCCAGTCTGGCCTTGCACCCTCCGAAGTCGGAGGGATGCAGCCAGGGCTGTCTTGTGTCACCCCATGTGCCCAACATGCCTGCCACCTCTCTTGGGAGTCCCCTTACCATATGTTAAAGGCTTCCTGCATTTGAGGAGAGTTCCCTGCTCTGGGACTCCTGCCCGGCCACTCCCACCTCACCTTGAACAGGAGGGCGTGTGTGTGTGCGTGCGTGTGTGTGTGTGTGTGTGTCAGGGGCTGGCCTGCCCAGGTGTTATGGCTTCTGCTCTCAGACATCTGTGTGCTCCTTGTCAGCAGTGTTGCCACCTTGTTTGAGGTCAAGGAAAGAAGGATGCCAGAGTCACCGGATAGCAGAAGGCGTTTCTAGAGTGTAGCATGCAGGCACTGGGGAGAGGCTGCATGCAGCCGTCTGCTGCTGACCTGTCTCCAGATGACACCTCTGGGACAGTCTTGGCCTTGGAGCCACCTCGTCTGAACTGAGTCTGGGTCGTGTGTCCCCGGACACAGCGTAGTGGGGAGAGGCAGAGTCCTGGTGGGGCCCTGGTGTACAGCAGGCTGTCTCCTGCCACATAACAGCAGGAAACCCAGCACAGCAAGTACTGAGTCATGTGCCTGGATGTGAGCTTCCATGGTCTGGTTTGAGTTCTTGGTTATTCAAATATTTGGGGGTACAGGAAGACTAAAGAGGGCTGGAGCTAGGTGTTTCCCATCCTCAGGTCTGTTAGATTTGGTATCTGGTGATCCTTACGGGGAGAACTCTGGGCATTGCAGAAGTTTGTCTTGCCTGCTGGAGGAATGAGACTTCGCTCCCATCGTCGTGACACTAGGTGGGGTTCCTAGAAGTAAAATCATCAGGGTTCCTAGTGGTAAGGCTTGGGTAAAACTGGGGGACAGAGGTTCTTATTTGTCAGTTTTATTTTGTCATTTGACCACAGCATCTGGACTCCCTCAATCCCTGGAATAAGTATTTTCCCCACATTTTTGGATATATATATGGGAGACAATTTTTTAAGCAAATGTTTTCCTGCTTTGGTTACCTTTCTTTCCCCTTCAAAAGGAATTAGCTTTCTCCTTCAAAAGGAATTAGAACTGCTTTGTAAAGATGCTTCTTGATATTTTACTTTCGTTCCTTTCCCCCAACCATTCCAATTTCTCACCACTCCTTCAGAAAGGATAACCCTTCTCTCCACACCCCCTCCCCCATCCCTGTCCTAGGCTCCCTTCCCTTCCATCATTATCTTCATTAGCTTATGATATTTGCTGCCGAGATGTTATAACAAGGACTCATGTATATAAGCCATTTCTTGATCCATTTAAAAGGAATTGTGAATTGTGTAGAAGAGAACCTGAAAAACAGGGGAAAAAGCCCTAGCCATGGATATTGTGAAACTGCTATGTCATTTTGTAATCTGTCCGTTTGTGTGTGATCCGTGCAAAAGGGTTTCTGGGGAAGGGGTTAACGGTAGGGAGGCAGGGATGGTGGAGGGGTGAGTAGGGGAGTGGGCGGGCCGGCCCAGCAACGACTGGGCAGCTGCTCCCGAACCTATCCATCCTAGAGATCCACCT